TTTTCTTTCTTTATTGACAAAACCTGTTATAATAATTTTTAATTTATAGTTTGTCCGTTATCTGGAATCTTTGAAAGGTGATAATGTAGAAAAAATAAGAGATGTTTATTCAAGAGCATGCATGGTTCATCATCCAAAAAAACCTAATTTACATCTGCAATGGGCAACCTTCGAGGAAGGTCAGGGTAATTTTGAAAAAGCTGCTATTATATTGGAAAATATAGATAATGTACTACCTAACATGTTACAAATAGCGTATCGAAGAATAAATTTAGAACGCAGACGAAATGATTTAGAACAAGCTTGTACATTATATGAAAACTATATAAGCAACAGTAAAAATAGAACAATTGCTAACAATATTGCAGTTAAATATGCTCGTTTTCTTTGTAAAGTTAAAAACGATGTGGATAAAGCTATCAAAGTATTATTGAAGGTATATTTATATTCTTTTTTTTGCGATTGTTAAATTTAATGTACAAAAAATTATTTTTGTTTATTCAAATAATTTGTTCACAGGCTACAGAAAAAGATAAAGATAACCCACGATTGTATCTGCAATTAATAGACTTGGGATTACAGAGAAATCCAGTTGACACGCAAGAAATTGTCGGATATATGGATATGTTTATAGAAAGAGAACATGCTGATTTGGAACAAAGAGTTTTATTTGCACAACGCAAAGTAGAATTTCTTGAAGATTTTAGTCCTGACATTCGACAAGTTTTGAAAGCGCATGAACAATTCCAAAAATGTATAAAGCAAGCTAAAGAACGCAAGAAGACAAAGAGTGATGATAATAAAAAGTACACAATATTACTATTGTTTTTGTTTAATATATATATATATACAGGGTGGGTCACCACATTTTACCATCTAGATTTACGTTATTATTATTACGCGTAGCAGACAATGTTTCACATGGAGTTAAATGGCTTTGAAAGGGGTTCATACTGATGGTACTTTTTCTTTTGTAGGTGGACGTGTAAAGGACATATGAAGGTTACTAATGTTTTTTTAAACGGAATCATATATTTTTTATTGCATCRTMTGATGCTYTTTYATATTATTTACAAAAAAGTATTAACCTATTTATGTAAAAAAATTATTACTTTAGGAGATATTTTAATTTTTATATCTATTTACAAAACAGGTTCAGGACATGGTCACAGACCATTTGCATCAGTACACTTTCTGAATCGAGAAATTAATGACTCATTAACGTCTCTTAATGTATCTGATGTTTTCTTGCATTCATTGACGATACGATCCCTCATATCGGCCATTGTAGTCGGAGGCTCAGCGTATAATATTATACGCCAATAGATTTCCTCAACGAAATACTCCATCACGTCGTACCTTTGATAATATTTTTAAAAAATTTCACCAGACAGGGCAATTAGTACGCAAAAAAACAATTCATAATAAAACAATAATAAGTGAAGAAAACGAAATTGCAGTGTTAGCCGCAGTTACAATAAATCCATCCGTTAGTTAGAAATCAAAAGACAAGCTGGAATTAGTCGCAAGAACATCTTACGCATACTGATAAAGCACAAATATCATTCATATCATGTATCAAAAGTTCAAGAACTGACCGCAAATGACTGTTATTAACGTTTAGAATTTTGTAATTGGGCTCTTACTCAAAAAAACAACTTTTTCAGCAATGTTATGTTCACAACGTTTACGAAAAATGGATCAGTGAATTCAAGAAATGCCCATTATTGGTCAACGGAAAATCCTCATTGGTTTAGACAAATGGATAATCAATATGAATGCAAGAAAATAACATCAGATACATTAAGAGACGTTAATGAGTCATTAATTTCTCGATTCAGAAAGTGTACTGATGCAAATGGTCTGTGACCATGTCCTGAACCTGTTTTGTAAATAGATATAAAAATTAAAATATCTCCTAAAGTAATAATTTTTTTACATAAATAGGTTAATACTTTTTTGTAAATAATATRAAARAGCATCAKAYGATGCAATAAAAAATATATGATTCCGTTTAAAAAAACATTAGTAACCTTCATATGTCCTTTACACGTCCACCTACAAAAGAAAAAGTACCATCAGTATGAACCCCTTTCAAAGCCATTTAACTCCATGTGAAACATTGTCTGCTACGCGTAATAATAATAACGTAAATCTAGATGGTAAAATGTGGTGACCCACCCTATATATATAACTATTTATTAAGCTATTACCGAGTATACTTATTTATATATTTGTCAATATATTTGTCAATATATTTGTCAATTTATATTAACATTTTTATTATTAAAAATTTGATGTAAAGTAATACATATCCTATTTTTTTAAATTTTATTATAGTGACTCTTCTCCTCCGAAGAAAGTTAAAACTGGAGAACAGTCAAATATACCTCCATCACCATCTGTAGGTTCTCAGTCTTATCAGTATAGCAGTGGACCAAGCGGACCCTATCAATCACCACAGCAATTTCAAGGTGGACAATATGGAGGTCAAGGAGGTTATCAACAAGGTTATCAACAATATCCGCCTCCGTCAGATCCTAATTATGCAAATTATCAAAACTGGCAGTATGGACAAGGTGGTCCACAAGCATATGGACCTTATAATCAATGGGGTTCATACAATTATTATTAAAGGATTATTCCAAATTTTTTGTGTAAGCAGTTATTATGCGTTATCATATTTGTTGTATATTTTATGATATTTACTTTTTCCATTCAATTTCAATTTATCCGAGATAAAGGAAAAAAAGAAAACAATTGTTTTTATCAATTTTATCTATAAAAAGTAAATTTTCTTCTAAATTTACTAAGGACTTACTAAACTTGCTTTCCAAAGTGCTATTTCTTTTGGAGTATTTCTATGAATGCCTTTTGAATATGATAAATATGCACTTAAGCTTCTAAATGATATGTAAATGAGTCAATGTATTGAAAAGTATGCCTATTAATGAGTTTACTGTCACGTCAAGTTATAAACATGTTCCTTCAATTTCATTGTCATCTTTCATATAAATTCATTAGATACAAATTATTTTACATACATTTAACAAATTTACATTTGACACGGCAATAAGCTATAATCGCTTTCTATTCCTTTTGACATAAGTCGAATAGTTAAAAATTGAAACAGCTTACTCAAATGACATGAAATAAAAACAAAATAATTTCTAATGTATCTCCCCTTTCCCCCTCTATTTTTTGTATACATAGCACAAAGATTATTATGTTTGCTTAGATATTCAATTATAAAAATCCCAACTTTAGTTATTGATAATGTAACTGCTATTGAGTTCTTTTGTACAAATCAAATGTTACGTCAACTAAATTGAAGTGTTTATAAATCGTAACCATAAATATTCATTATTATGATTATTTTGGTATTAAATATAAAATAATACTTTTTTTTAAGTACGATATTTACAGGTACGATCCAACGTATGCAAAATGCATTTATTATAAATTGTATATGTTAAGAACAAAATCTAATTTTAATATAATCTTATAAATTTTCTTTCATTCAGTTATTATACTACTTAATATGTAACAAAACGCAGGAATATTTTTACACCAATTGTTAATTTAAAACACTCAATATTTTTTAGTACTATAATATTTCCAAATTTTTCTATGCAAAAATATATTTTGGGATTATTAACTTAATTAATAAAACTTTTTAAAAAATTAACTTAAAACTTAATTTTCAAATTGGCGTCAATTTTATTTCAAAAGAAATATGATTTTATATAAATGATAAAATAAAGGCACTATAAAATGCAAATCCATGTACTGCAAACTAAAATAATAATTATATTTTTTTAAATCTTATATATTTCTTTAATAATAAAATATTATTTTATACTATAAAATTTATATCAATTTGAAAGTTTAATAATCCTAAAATAGATTTCTGTCTATGAGAATTTTGAAACTTTACATTACAAGCAAATATCAATTATTTCCAATTTACAGTGTGGTCTGATACAAATACTCTCGTGACACACTGTATATATATATATTATATTTATATATGTTGTATTAAATTAAAATTGGTGAATTAAAAATATTTTCATTAACTCTTATCGGACGTCAATCACATTTCCCATGACAATGGTATTTTGGCATTGCGCTCATCTGTTACATAAAAATGATAAACGAAATATATATATATATTGCATATAAACCGAAATCAGCTACAATGTAATGAGAATCGTATGAAAAAAAACTGACAACCGATAAAGGTTTGTTATTAACAAACTTTAATGATTATATATAACTTCTATATATGTAGAGTTCTTTCATAGGGCATATATCATAATTTATTATTGATAAAACAAAATTTTGAAAGACCTGTCATATAAAATGTTATGTAAATGAATTGATTAAAAATCTAGTTTTGTTTGAAATGTCAATTTGAAAAAGACCAATAATATAACATTTTTGTAGTGAATTTACTTTCGATTAAACACTTTTTAGAATTTTACTTTTGGTATTTACATATCATAATTTTTAAATATTAAACAAAGGTGCAAATTTCAGTATATATATTTGCTGCTGTTGGCTCAATGTGGCATAGTTGTCTCTTTAGACATTTAGTCTAATAAAGCTGAAATGTTCAAAAAAACCACTTATCCAATAACAGAATTAAGATTTAGAATGTGTAATGTATGTGAAATTGTTCGCAAACTAATGTAAATAAAGGAATGGATATCATTTGATTCCAATGCATTCATAAAATACCAATAGAATAGTTTGTTCTTTCAATGTTATTATTTAGCTGTAATTTAGTTATTCCTATTAAAAATTAATATCTCCAATCTGCGATTTATTAGGAAATGTAATAAATGTTTCATATATAAAAACTTCAACATTTTTATTTAATTTAGTATAACAAATGTGTAATATTTATTTTGAAAATGTTCTTATTTTCTTATCATTAATATAATATTTAAATTGAAAGCCAATTGTAATTCATACTTAAAAACTAAAAAGTTAAATTGTTTAATTCAGTTAAATCGTGGAAACCGTCGTTTCAGTTAAATCGTTAAAGAATGAAATTGAAATTTGATCGTTTTTTATAATCTGCTTTTCTTTCTATACCAATCCTTGTAGTTATTTGCTTTAATCTCTTTTTGTACTTTAAACATTTTTCCTGTTAGTAACAAAACTGTGTTCATAATTGTTAGTATATGCAAGTTAATATATGCAGTTAGGTAGTATGTAACATAATTGAAGTATTTAATTCTGCCTTCTTTCATATTTAAATAGTTCAATTAGTCATTTCAGTGTTTAACTAGTTATTTCATGAATTAACAGATTTCATAAAGTAATGCTAACATATATAATAAAATTAGTTTTAGTAACATAAGTATCATAAAGAAGGTTTAGTTTCGAATATAACAATATTTTAATAGGAATAAGATTAATAAAAAATATTATTTTAGCCAACAGAAAAGCCTAATTGCTTCGGAATAAATTTTTTCAATCAAAAATGAGTATTATTTAACTACAGCACTTGTAGCCATTTGATTTACTCCACAAGTTCCATCTCCTCTATAAACTCTATAATATCCGCTTTCACCCCAACGAGGACCCCAACTATTTTTTATCACCCAATATGGTAATTCTTTCTTGAATAGCGGATATTCTGAAAAATACACATTGATTAAAGAATATGATATATTTTATACGAAATTATATAAATAGAAATAACACTTACTACGGATTCCGTAACCTACAATAAGAACACCATGATTCAGATTATAAGGATTGCATAAGAATTTAAAAGGATGGGATATTCCACCTACATAAAATTGCATTGCATTAGCATTGATCCCAATAGATATAGGACCGTTTGCAACTAGCCACTGTGCCATTTGTGTTTCATTTGATGTAATATTAACTGCAGAAACAATTTCAACTTCAGCTTTATTTTTATTAAAATAACATTTTTCATCTATGCCTTTATATGGATAATCCATTTCTGATTCAAGTCCACCTAAGTTTTCTATAGCTCTATAAGCATTATCTGGCAATCCACCATTGCAAGCATCATCCAATTTGTCACAATCCACTAATTCTTGTTCAGATAATGAAAGTAATTTTCCATGCTTTATAGCATATTGTCCCTCTACATTACCAGTTACAGAGAAAGCCCAACATGATCCACATTGTCCCTGATTTTTCACAGGTGTTACAGCATTGTAATGACGCCAATCATACTCTATGGGCAATTCAATATCAGGAATTCTTGCTTGTGGCATTGGTATATGATTTTCTAAACGTAAATCAGAGCGCAATCCTAAATATTGTTTTTTAAATTCTTTAGGTGTTAAATCGGCAAACATAGTAACTCCATATTCTCCAGTACCTTGTTCATATCTTCGTAATCTTTCTATAATTCTAAGATTTTTTTGGAATACCTTGAAACGATGTGTTTTTTCTTGTTCAGATAAGTAATTTTTACTAAAATTAACAATAAATTCTTCGAATAATCTTTCATGTTTTATATTTTCTGCCTGAGCTAACATTTTTTGACTATAACCAGCACCTTTAAGATTTCGTTTACTTCGTGCAGCATGATTGCAATTTACTTCAACGTTTGGAAAACCTCTATCTATCCAAGGTTGCGACCATATAGTGAATAAACATTCTTTAAGATCACTTCCTTTTTGTAATTTACAATTATTTTTGGTTCCTTTAGGGCAATCGCTTACACCTAATTTTACTTTTATTTTATATAACATACCAGAAACAACTTGAGCAGTCGCTTCTATAATTTCAACGATGATTGGTTCATTCGCACTTTCTAAATTTAGAGAAAATTTATTTAAACCAAGATTTGCATATTTTACTATTTCAGGATCATTTACATTTCTATTAGAAGGTGCTCCAACTAATTGTCTTTTCGTTCTTATAGCAACATCGTAAATATCAGGCGAATAAGATCTTTTTGTCTTATCAAAGGATAGATTTGAATCAATATTGTTTTGATTACTTAATTGGTCATCTTTGTTGTGTATTGATACTTCCTCAGATACTATTTCTTTATCATTAACTGATGATTGTTGACTATCAGCATTAACATTTTTTTTAATAGGTATGTCAAAATCTTCTAAGAATTCTTGAAATTCTTTGATTTTATCCGTAAAGTGTTCTGGTTTTTCTTCATCGTTAGTTTTATTTATTAATACTTTTACAAACGAATGTTCTGTAACAAGTGATTCTTCATTTTGAGCATTAGAAGTTAAAGTATGCGTTAAGCTGTCTGTTATTACACTCTTCAAACCTTTGTAAGCATCATTTTTAGCTATTATGTATGATTCATTTAGTAGGTTTTTAGCTTTATTAAAGTCATTAGTACTAATTGCTGTACAATTATTCTTTGTTATTTGGCGAGTATCGTGTTGAAAAGGTTGTTCTTCAAATGTTATCAAACAGGTTTTGATTGGAATATTAGATTGTAATGTGCAATTCGATATACTAGTCAATACATTTTTTAAGCAAGAGGATTCGCCAACCTTAACCCAAAGTTGATATTTTATTATGTTAGAAGAAGGTGGAACTGCACGAGTTGCTCTAACAATGTCAATTACCATATGTTTAAAATCATTAGATAGAATTTCGTCCATTTGTTTTTCAATTTGTCTATTAAAAGCAAGAAATCCAGGTAGATGAGTATTCAAGTCGTACGGGCATCCAGGACAATAATTAGAATCAGATGTTTTAGCAGATATGATTTGAGGATCATTTTGATCTCCCATAGATTTCATTCCCTGATCTGATGTAGTACTTTCATTTTTTATAATTTCTTTATTTAAATTAGCCAGAGATTCCTGATTTTCATAATTCGGCTTTTTATTTTGCTCTAGTACTTCATTACTTTGAGAAGATTGAGGATACAAATATGTACATTGAATAGAATCTTTTTGTATTTGTATATTATTAAACTCATTTTGTTTAAGATTAATTGTACATGCTTCTGTGGGACAAAATTCTCCAGTTTCTTTACAAATGGGATTTAAATTAAATGTTAATCTATATATAATGTGTGATAGTTCATCCTGAAAAAAAAGATAAAAAGCGTTTTTTTTTATAGTAGATACAAATGCATGGTAATATATAATTAATTATAAATATAAATTATAATTAATTACACATACATTAAACAATTAAATTTATGTACTTTAAAAATGTTCACTTTTTTATCCATATAAAGAAATAACAATTAATTATACTACACTTTATATAATTATTATTAGTTATATATTGTTTAAAATATAATATCAATTAATAATATAACTTACCAATTTTTCAGCACTAATCAATTGTCCACCAGTATAAGTATGATGCGTTGGTGAATTTTCATTCAAAGAATATAATGCAGTTTGTATTAACGAATCGTTTACACTTTGTAAAGATATATTTACAGGACTAGAGAATACTAGAAAAATCAAATTACAATAAAATATGAACTTATTTAAGAAAAACCGTAAGTGCGCCATTATTCTTGACTATTCTTAACTGCGTCGTTAGACTCTCACCCTTACATTGACGTCTAACTCTATTCTATTGTCCCTGAGTAATGAATGGTGACTAGTGAGCAATCAAGAAAAACAAAGAAAGAAAAATTAGATAAAGATACTTTTCACTGTCGAGGAATGATATAGATACTGGCGGCCGCTATTGTAACTACTACACTACTACAGCTAAAGAAGTACGTATTTATGTAAAATTTCAAATCGTATTTTTTAGCGAACAGCTGACCATATACGAATATACGAATTCGAGAAACTTCGTTAACGTTGAATTCCTACCCCTTCCCTTCCTATCCTTGATTCGAAATTTCGTAACCGTTCCTTAGGCTGTAAAACCTAAATCCACATATCCCCTTCACCCCGCGCGCTACGAGCGATTTCTATTTTAACAATAGCTATTATATTTATATTCATATTTATGTATATTATCTGACAACTCTCTCTTGTTTGTATATATTTATTGACCTCAGTGATCCCATTCGTACGATAATTGAGGCCCTGTACGATCCAAAATTCGTGGTGTACGATCCGGTCTTCTATCTCCCCGCGGACCGCCGTTTTTATCGTTTTCATGATAGGGTTTTGAACTTGATGACTAAAAAAAAAAAGGTCATCAACTTTGAAAAAGTTGGAACTTGGATACTTTTTCCACATTTTGAAAATTTCGTCCGAGAAATTGTCGGGTTTCAAATTTTCCCGGGGCGTACGATAATTTTCTGCCGCGTACGATAATTTTACGCCCCTGTGTCGATCAGACGAACTAAAGTCTCTGGGATCACTGATTGACCCTGTGCTGTCAGATCGTGGGTAAATCTTACCCTCTCCCTGTGCCACTGGGATTGCACACAATGAAAGTTTTCCATGTCCGTGTGTTTGGGATGTCGAAAGAAGTCGAGTGTAACCGAAGTTGGCGGGCACGCCGGAGTGGCACACTATGAAAGCGACTCGTGTCGTCCGAACACATGGACATGAGTCGCTTTCATAATGTGCCACTTCGTGGCCAACCGCCAACTTCGGTTACACTCGGCTTTCCTCGACATCCCAAACACACGGACATGGAAAACTTTCATTGTGTGCAATCCCAGTGGCACAGGGAGAGGGTAAGATTTACCCACGATCTGACAGCACTGGATTGACCTAGAATTATTGCCTCCTACTGTTTGTTTATCGTTAGGTCATATACCATCTAAGTCATATACCCATATATCTCTTTATCTGTTTACTATCCTATAGTTAATACAATTTTATACATAAAAGATTCCACAAAAATTTACAGAATAACTGAAAAACGTGTTGTTCGTTACCAATGTACTTTCATATTGCTGTGAAAATCAGTTACATAGAACATTACACATGTAATTGTCAATTAACAAGTCATGTTCCATTTAAATTTATAAGGTACAATTAACCATTCTAGTATATTTAAAATATAAGCAGGAATATTCATTTTTTTATTTATAAAATTTTTATAATTTTTTGTAATTTTGTAATTTCTCTAGATTTTTATTTTTTGTATTTACTCGAAAGATACTAATTAACTGGAATTTCAGATAAATTAATTAATAAAACGACTAATACTTTTAAATTTATTAAAATCGGCTTATAAATTTAAATATATATTGATAATATAAATAATGGCAATTGCCCTTAAAAACTGGAATTCTACTGTAAGTATACAAAACAAATATTATATGTCGATAATATTACAATATATTAAGTCAATTATTTTATAAAAATATCTATATTTTCTCATATGGGGAAAGAGCTAAACATAAATTCTAATGAATGTATCAAGCTATCACGAAATAAATCATGGTCAGAAATATCTTCAACTGAAAAAATAAAAGGTAAAAATAAAATCAGATCTATAACTTATCGTTTGTTTACAGGCTTATTGCCTTTTATCAAATCAAACTTAATTGAATCTTTCTTATTGAATTTATAATAATTTTTGTGTGTAACCTATTCTATTTGAATATAAATTTTTAATTATCATTAAATATAGTTCATTTTTTTCTGTATTTGATGCAATTTATTATTTCATAATTATTTCAATGTTTGAATCATTCGCGCGCAAAATCGAGTTCTTCCGGTCCCCCAGCAATGTACATGGCGCATCCCTCCTATAGGGTCCCTATACCGCGGTAGATTTTTACGCCAATTAGTGGCAAGTATCCAAAGCAGTTGGGATCATGTATTTAACGTAAACATACGTGATTTACTTTAAAATAATTATAAATAAAATATATTTAATTTTTTTTAATAATGCCAACTTCGAGAAAAAATTGTTGTGTTCTTGGATATAATAATATATCACGTCGAGAACGTGGATTCGGTGTGGAAGTGAAATTTTATAAATTTCCAGAGAGCATGTTAGGAGCCTCATGGAAAATAGTAAAACGTAAACAGTGGATGAATGCAGTGAAAAATTACGTGTAAGTAAAATATTAATTAAAATTTTTTAAAATGAACTGTAACATTCAGTAAAATTATTACATTTAAATGTGACGTATGTAACAATTGATCATTTTGTTGATGAAATTTCAAATATTTGTGGCATTTATCTTATAATTATGACTTAACCTTTTAATTCTTTTCTTTGATTTCAGAAAAAATCCAAAAGACTGGGTACCAAATAAATATACGAGGATTTGTAGTACCTTTTTTGTAAATAATGAAAAATCAGAGCATCCGTTACATCCATCTTATGTTCCTTCGATTTTTCCTGGTCGTGAAAATATAAAAAGAAACATTCAATCSTTAGAATGTTTCCAACGAGTCAGAAATCGTGAAAGAAACATAGTCCACATCAATAAATGTATTGTGAGTGAAAAAAATAGAAATAACATAAACATTGAAAATACGATAGATACAGTAATGGAGCAAGATGATGAAGAACATGCAAGTAGTGTTGAAGAACATCAGATTGATATTCATGTTGAAACTGTTACGGTGAAGCCTATGCAACGGAGCATAAGTTGTCAAACAGAGATAGTCACAGACGGAGCTTATGAATATTTGACATATTTTTTTTGTAATCTCAACTATCATAACGATTTAAGCACGGCCGCAGTACAGGTAATTATTCCAATAAAGAAAACACAAAATAAAATTTGTGAAGCTAAAATACCAATTGTAAAAAATGTTCAAGATTCGAGTTGTGATCCAATAAATATAGATCTTAATAAATCTTGTCATGACAGTTCTAATGTTATTCGTTTTTTCAACAACACCGTACACATGCTTTGATTTGAATAATTTGTTGCCTTTCTCATCGTTTTGGCCATGTATAATATTATTAACTACAGGTTGGAATCCATATTTTATTATTTTTTCCATTGTTATAACTTTTTTTAATGTTATTAAATTTTCGTTTTGATCCCACTATGTTCACCAATGAAACACAAGAGAGCGCTCACTCCGACAGTAGTGCTGCCTCTATATTTCACGCATGATCCCTATATTTATATTTTATTGTTATAATGCTTAAACTATTTAAACATATAGAGAAAAAAATTGATAAGATAACAATCCGTAAAGAATATAATAGGTAATTTGAACTAATATTCAATAATTTTTAACATTTTGTAGAAAATTTGATTTGGCTGCATTAAATTGTAGTGCAGCTTTTAGAAATACTAATACACCATCTAGGTAGATTTTATTTTAAGGCTGTTAACAGTAGTGGTTAGTAATCGTCAATAATTGCAGTTGGTCATCATCTTTTAGGTTAGAAGAGTGATTGAAGACAGCTAAAAAATGCCGAGTCAAGAAGTTGTTACTACAAAAGTAGTAGTCCATCCTTTAGTTTTATTGAGTGTGGTGGATCATTTTAATCGTATGGGAAAGATTGGAAATCAAAAAAGAGTAGTTGGTGTACTTCTTGGTTGTTGGAGAGCCAAAGGTGTCTTAGATGTGTCAAATAGTTTTGCAGGTTAGGATTTTATATTGCTATAAATATACATTCAGATTTCGCAGCTCCTGTTCATGCTATTAAACTTTTATTGTGACAGAGTATAAATAGGGGAAAAAGATATAAATAATCAATAAGGTTGTAATATTTTTTTCAGTCCCCTTTGATGAAGATGACAAGGATAAGAGCGTGTGGTTTCTTGACCATGATTATCTTGAAAATATGTATGGAATGTTCAAAAAAGTTAATGGTAATGGATGATATGATAGTTTTTATATTGTATTGAATTGTTTTCAATTATTATAAAAAACATGTATTTCTAGCTCGAGAGAAAGTAGTAGGTTGGTATCACACAGGACCTAAACTACATCAAAATGATGTTGCTATCAATGAATTGATCAGAAGATATTGCCCAAATTCTGTATTAGTTATTATAGATGCTAAACCAAAAGATTTAGGTCTTCCTACTGAGGCATATCAAGCAATAGAGGAAGTACACGATGTAAGCTTATTTATATATAATGACAATGAACAGTATTTAAATAAATTGTTATCTTAATATTTATTGTTACTTTAATAGGATGGTTCGCCAACTTCTAAAACATTTGAGCACATACCTAGCGAAATTGGTGCAGAAGAAGCTGAAGAGGTTGGAGTTGAGCATTTGTTACGTGACATTAAAGATACAACAGTTGGAACACTTAGTCAACGTATTACAAATCAACTTCTCGGGTTGAAAGGTCTTCATGAGCAAATAAGAGAAATAAGAGATTATCTAATACAAGTAAATATCAAATTTTTGTGCACACGTTAATCTTTTATTCTTCCTCAATTTACAAATAACAAGAAAATATATAAACATTTTATTTTTGTTCTAGGTTGGTAATGGTAAATTACCAATAAATCATCAAATTATTTATCAACTGCAAGATATATTTAATTTATTACCAGATATGACACAGAGTAGTTTCATTGATTCATTATATGTTAAAACAAATGATCAAATGTTGGTAGTATATTTAGCAGCACTGGTCAGATCCATAGTGGCTCTTCACAACTTAATTAATAATAAATTGACTAATCGTGATGCCGAGAAGAAAGAAATGGACAAGAAAGATGCCAAGAAAGATGAGAAAAAAGAAGAAGACAAAAAAGATGAAAAAGAAAAAGGAAAACCTAAAAGTCAATGAATGAGAAATGTTGTACATCTCGATAAAAAATTTAACTCGTGAATTAAAAAATTAGAACCGTCTAAGTTTAGAATAATAATTAGCTTCGCGTATGTAAATAGCGATGCTTGTTTATAATATATACGTAATGAATTTGTATTTTTCAACAAAAATATCGACAGAGATTAATTATTAAATTAATACAGAACGACGAAGTTACCTATTTTCGCGCTTTTGAAATCATCATAATCACTTACTACAATAATTATATCAAATTTAAATATATAGGTTTTCTCTTGTAAATGTCACATGTACGTTGTTATTACAGTTTTCAATATACTACATGACGATGTATGAAATGAAATGATTTATGAAAAATGTGGATATGAAGTCTAATTGTAGTTAACACATAATTCATTGATACATAATTACATGTTGTTTTCTTCCAGTTGAAAACCAGTAATACAAAATAATCAGATATTACGAATTTTGTGATTATACTAAAACAGAATTTTTCTATGAAATTATCTGAAATGGATTTATCAAATGGTTATAAATACTTCATAAACATTATAGAGACACTGTATTTTGTAGGAAATGAAATTTTTTACTTAAAATATTGTAGAGTCTAAATAAAAAAAAATTTTAAAACAAATACACAAAAAACAAAGAAAAATCCTACGTATATTAAATTTTGTTTTTAGTTGAGAGAAATCAAGGCATTTAATAATTATGTAGATTAACACTTTTAAAAGATATACATTATTTTTTTATTTAGAACGTATAAATTTTATAAAATATATACCAATATATATATGAATTACTATGATAAGAACTTTGCTAAATTTGTATTGTATAATCGATTTATGATTATTTAAAGTAAAGACAAACACAAATAATTAAATACAACTTTATGCAATAAAAATTTTTTATATTTTTACATTTGCAATTTCGATGCTTAAGAAAAAGTAAATATAGTACTTCAAATTAGATTATATATATAACAAAACATAATTGAAATAATAACAAAGATCGATAAGTACTTACTTTAATGCTATTGCTATAAACCGTTCCAATAAATGGTTCTAAATTGGTATCATTGTAATGTTGGAAGTACCAATTAAAACGATTATCTTCGATTATTTTAACATTATCATGTGCGGTAGTCGTTTCTTTGTTGTTTGAAAATGCATATTCTAAATTTTCAATATTTCTTTGAACAGCATCAGCTATAGGATTTTCTTTTTCCTGATTTCGATTATGGTCAGTAGTTTCAGCTAAATATGGAGATGGTACTTTTGTTATCGTTGGCCTACCCAAAGTACGTAAGCTAGTTGTTGATATGGAAGAAGGAATTTGACCACCTGGTGCCAGAAAAGCTGACAAAGCTGATGCTTCTGTCTTTCGACTTGTTTGTGAAGTTCCAATAATTTTATCTTTCAATTTATTTGTTGTTGTAGTCTTTGCTGTCATAGTCGTCACCATTGTTGTTGTAGATGAAGAAGTAGATGGATAGTATGTTGTAACTATACGAATATTATCTATAAAAATGAACAATTTCCTTTCATATCTTATTGAAATGATGATAAGAAAAGAGTTAAATACATTTGAAAAAATAATTAGATGTGTAGTTTCGATAAATCTTACCAGTAGATTCATTTTGTGGATTAATCATTGTCATAGTCGTTTCCATTTTCTGAGCTTCCATCGTCTCAGTGTTCCAAAAGATATTTTTATCTTTCATTATATGAAAATCATTTAAATTTTCACGATTATTATTAATTGTTGTTATTATTGCTTTATTAGATGGAAATGCCATTTTCGCCAAATCAGTTCTTGGTGTCGTCCAGACAATTGTACTTGCAATTTCCATTCGCGAATCATTAATCATTTTACGTTCTTTTATATTCATTATTAATTTATCACCTAGATCAAGTTCTGTTGTAACAAATGTTTCATTTCTTTTTTGTAATGTTTCGTTAGAAAGTAACGATGATTTAATACTTTTCGTTAAATTTAATGAAGAGTATGACCTACAAAGAAACAAATATTCTAATTATATACTTCTATTCGAATATGTGACATAAAATTATTATAATAACATACTCATTTTCAGTTAAATTGTTAGAAAATTTTGAAGAGCCAACAACATTTGAGGTAAAAAGTTCATCTTTACTTTTTGAGCCTGTTCGAGATTTGTTAGTTTTTGAAACATTGTTTTCTAATTTAGATATGGTATCATTCGAATGTTTCAAATTATGTCCTTCTTGTATGCGAATATGATTAGTATTTTGATCTTGATTATCTTTCAGAGTATCATTTCTTATTTGTTTTTGATCGTAAATAAAATGAGGCGAATCAATAATAGGAATGAAACCACCTTGTCCTCGTGGTAAAGGTATAAAACCACCCCTATGAATTTCTGGCTCGGTTGGTGGAAATACTCTGTAACGTCCTCGTCCAGGTCTACCTCCTGATGTTTCTTTCCTTTCTGCTTTTCTACCAGTATTACCCCAAAAATTAAAATTCAAATTAGGCAGAGGAACACCAAAGAAAGTAAACCCTGAACTACCCGGCGAAGGTGGTATTATAGAGGAATTTTTTTTTAATTGATTCGTTGCATTCTTCGCATTTAAATATTTCATAGTTTCAGAACTTTGTATAGTTTTAACTGATTGAAAAATTGTAGCTTCGGTTGATACTATTGGGAGGGAAGTAGACACGTTCGAATGATCGCTTTTATTGTTCGAATGGTAATTTAAATATTCGTAATAATCATTTTTATGAGAAACGGATGGTCTCTTGGTCGAGCTTTCTAAATTCATCCAAAGTGATACCGTTTCTGTAGCTCCGTTCAGTCCTACAAAAAATTAATTTAAATATGATCTCTAAATAAAATTCTGATAGTTATATTCGATTTTATTTATTAACCTGAAGCAGGAGTAACGTTATTAACCATTTCAGCTTCGCAACCAGGATGAACAGGAGGAACAATTAGTCTTTCATGTTGACAATCTTGACGAGATAATCTGATTTCTTTAAAAAGAGATCCATCAGCACATCTCGGACCTTCCGACGATGCTTGTTGTAACCATCCCCTCAACCATAACATACCGCAAGAACATGATAAAGGATTTCCTATATTATATTTTTTTAAATAATTTTATCATCGAAAAAGAGATTAGAATTTGTATTCGTGTTAATATTGAAATAATTGTTACCATCGATATCCAAAATAGCGATATTGGATCTTAATCTTTTAAATGCATTTTCCGAAACGGATGCCATCCGATTGCTTCTCAAACTAAGAACACGTAATCTTGGCATTTCGTCAAAAGGTGAACCCTGTATTGCGCATATTCTATTGTTATCCATCTAAAAAAAAGTGAAAGTAAAAAAATTAAAAAACAAAAAGAAAAATAAAGAAAAAGAAAAAAGTAAGAAAAAAGAATAACTAAAATATAAAAGGACATATATATATATATAAGTACACACGAATAATTAGTTTCACGAGACGCAACGGAGCAATTGCTGAGTTATTCCACGCTTCAAGGAGAGATTTCACTGTTCGCGAGAAAGTAGCTATTCCCCGCTTGATGGTATTAACAAAATAGTCTCCAGCCTTTCTCGAAAAGGTTCGTTAAAGATAGATATTAACTTTTATTCTCACTTTTAATTCGACTAGCCATTCCATCGCAGCCAAACTGTCACTGGATACTCGAGCCAAGCGATTATTACTCAGGTCTAAAACTTCTAATGATTGAAGACTTTCTAAACCAGCATATTCCAAACTCGGTAAATGATTATTACTTAAATTTAGAAAGAGAAGATGAGGCACGTTGATGAAAGCTTTACTGTCGATTTCTAAAATATGATTTTCTTGAAGTTCCGCACTTTGAAGTAAAGGTAATTCGGAGAATGCACCCCTTGGAATTGTCTAACAACAAATTTATGAACATGTGGTTATTTAATTGTTATATTTCTTCATGTATATACAGGGAAGAGAATTTAAATTGGAACTTCTAATTATCTCCGTTATTATTAGTTTTACAATTTAAATATTGCTAAGAAATCCACACTGTTTTAATACCACTATTACAGCATTTTATTAAATGTGTAAATAGTTTCTTAGTAGTATTGAAATTGAAATATTTTTTAAATAAATAGTTTTCTACATCGATGAATACTTTTTTATTAAAAATCTTTACATCTACTAATGCATTAAAAAACACGGTTCCATGTAAAAAAATGATTTCACCGGCACATATACCTATTAAAGTAATTTAAGTTTGTCTTAAAAACTTTTTCCATAAAACCAAAAATAACAAAGATATTTAAATATATTTCGATTGATATGTTCCACTCTTTATATTAATTATATAAATATTTTATATTAATATATAATCCTTGAAATATACAATACCTTTATAAGATTTTTTCCAAGTCTTATAGCTTGTAGCTCAGCCAATCTTCTAATCGCATTTTTTTCGATTACCCTAAGATCATTATTTTCAAGATCGATTATAGATAATCGCGGTAAACCATCAAAAGCACCCTCTCGTAATTCCCTTATTCGATTTCTAACCAGTCTTAGTTCAAGTAAAGACGACAGACTGCTCAGTGTTTCCGGTGACAGGATGTTCAGTTTGTTGAAGCTCAAGTCGAGGATTTCGAGAGCCATTAAACCGTGCAACGATCCGGGTAACTCGGTCAAAGTGTTGTGCGACGCGTATAATTCCCGAAGGTCCCTGTAATTATCATAGTGATTACGTATTCTTCTTTATATCGAATGCTTCCACTAACTTTTCATAATAATTATTTAATCGTAGATATATTTTAAGATATAAAAAAAATATGTATGAATAAAATAATTATTTAAGGTTAGAAAAACGATGGCCAATATCTTATATAATTAGTACAGCTACACTTTATGCAGATAATTATCTAATCCAGGATATATAAATAATAATTATTTAATTAAGGAAAATTATGGCCAAAAATCAATTATACTTTTTCTAGATAGAACATACATAAAGAATTTATGTAGTATACAGCATCTATCATTTTGTGGAAATATGTATACATAATAGAAAATACGTGAAGCATGTTAAATAATGAATGGTAGAACGAGAAGATATTATTAAGTAAGTATGCGAGGAGCTTTCTAGGGACCAATTTTCTAATGACGTAACGAAGTAAATGCGAGTGAAACCGCTCTCTCGCCGAACTATCACTATGTTAGCAATTTATCGTCTATTACAATATTTTTCCTAATGATTTATATACAAAATGATTACTCTTTTATCAAAATTTATTGTCGAAAGTAATAGGATTGTAATAATGATTGAGACAAAGTATTCTATTATCAAAGAATTTTGTATTATTTTCTTACCTTG